TTAATATTGTATTTAAGATGGAAAAAAAAATCCTGCCTAGTTGTTTATCATTTGTTTTCTCGTTGGGAATGGACAGCAAATACATAAACATATAGAGGTAGAGGTAATTCCATAACTGTTTCCCAGCAACTATTATGTTACCAGCCCACGACTTTGTTTTGTAGGAACTTCCATGTTTGGGTGGACAGCTGGATGTCCAGACCTGACCTGGGGCCTGAGTACAGCGGGTGGCAGGCCAGTGACCCCACCCCCCAGGAGACCAGTGAGGGTGAGTACCATGTACAAGGAACTTTACATTTCAGCTTTGGAAATGTAAACAGACTAATAGTAAAGGGTTATGAAACAAAACACAACTCCAGGTCTGTTTTTGATGAGGTTAAAACAGTGCCCCCTAAAAAGCCTTAAAAGCTAAATTTTGAGAGGGGGTCAAATTACTTCCCGTTAACACTGCGGATCGTCCTCATCTTAAGTTATCACCATGAACTCATAAAACAGCAGCATGTAGATCTCTGTACAAACTCACCTCACATCAGCCCGGAGTAGAAGCTCTGAGTTTGGGAAACAGCGGTAAAGACACAGGACACTCACTGTAGTGCGCACCCCCTCAGGACAGGATTGAGGGTCTGGTTCGTGGCCTTGTGCCGTCCTCAGATTGTGTTGGTCAGATTGGTCCAGAGGCTCCGTCCTCCATGTCCTGGTTCCAGACGGGGGTGAGCAAAACCAGTGCATAATGGACTGGGTTCGAGTTGTGCTGTTGTCTGTGCGCTGATTTCTTGCGGGGAAAGTGAGAATGTGCTGTGGACTACGGGTCCTGGTGGGCTGCAATTGATTTTAATCTGAAATTAAGCACTTTGTTTTAAGATGCACAATTTAGCCATTTTATTTATTTTCTTCAATTAATTTTAAACTGCAGCCCTGTGTATAATGCAGACCTACTGTGTGTTTCGGTGTTAACAGTACATTTTGTTGAAATGTTTTTACCTTGTATTTTCATTGATTCTGTTGTTCATACATTCAGACATTGATAAAACCTGCTGCTTCTGTATCACAGTCATAACACAAGTTAGACATTCTGATGTCCTGGACATCTGCTTGAGGAGATTTTCTCTCACTGGACCTCCTCAAATTTTAGTTGAATACCCCTGTTATAGGCTCTGTGGCATTAAATGTGGTGTCTTTTTTCACATTTGAGTCTGTATTGCTCAACAGTTTGGAGACGGGGACCCCCTCGAATAATGACGGGTATTTCACACCCTGGGTAACAACATAACATGTCTTAAAGCTCACAAGTCAAACCTCAAGAGTAAACCACCAGCCTCCAGTCACATGTCTCTGTCCACTGTGATACACTTCACTGGAGATAGAACAGGCTCTTCAGCTGATCACTGTCATGTGACCGCTGTCCCATAGACCAGGCGAAACATGTGATGAACCAGACATGTTTTACTCAGTTAAATTCATTAAAATAGTCTGTCTACATAGTTCACAAATCATAGGTTGTATATATAAATGGACATAGCCGTTGCGTTCCAAATAGGAAGCTCACATGTGGCTCTTCCGTCTCCTTATGACTCTGGCTCCCATTGATTTACATTGAAATATTGTCGTCCGTCTCTCTGTAACTGCTGCTGTGAGCCTCGTCATTTTGGTCTTAAAATGTTCATATTAAAACCCACCCTACATGATCCTGGTGTTTGTTTTCGCTATTTTGTCCATCAAAAAAAAAATCCTATTCATAACATAGAGCAGGAGTCTCCAAACTTTATCCTTCTGTGAGCAACTCTGTAAAATGAAAATGCCAGAGAGCTACTAATTTAGGTGTTGCCAGAAACTGAGGAAATACAAGATCCACAGTGAGCCTCAGGTACAGTCAGAGGCCTATAAAACCACTATGCAGTTATCAGTTCACAAAGTTAGACATCAAAGTTATACATTTATAATGTTAATAGGCAGTTAATCAATCAAATTTTAGTTATTCAGCGCAATACGTATGATTCAGGAATCCCTCGGCGAGCTATTTGGAAGACCCCTGAAGTAGAGCCTCCAAATTCCCTCCTGTAACTGGGGTTATTCATGTGTTCCCACAGCTCTATGTTCCTTCATTTTTAAGATTTTTCTCAAAATGAAACTCTAATTGAAGTCATTTTTATTTTTATACGGCATTTAAAGGGCTGATTCAGAGTCATTTCAACCCAGGATCCTTTGCACCATGACCTCTACATTACATTAGGAACATAGGGCCTAATTTTGGGGAAAAAAAATATAAAAAATTTTGAAATGAGGGAACATAAGCACACTCCCCTGTAACATCACAAGTTTCATTTGAGCTGAGCCGAACACTGTGGGTGACGTCACACTCCCTTAGTCCACTTTTTTTATACAGTCTATGGTAGAAATTGAAAACTGTGTGTCTAAAAACTCTTTTAATTATTCATCACAGTTAAATGCTTGTTCTCTCTGATTTCCTTCTGTGTCAGGGATCTTCTGCTGTGGACCTGCCTCGGTGAAGGCCATCAAAGAGGGAGAGCTCACCAAGAAATATGACGCTCCCTTTATATTCGCTGAGGTGGGTTTCTTCTACATTTATTGTATGTATCAGATTTTTGTTTATTTATGAGAAAACAGCCGTGCAGGAGGATGGGTGATGTCAGCTTTTGGGCTCAGCTTTGGACAGGATAGTTTTGCTAACGATAAGGAGGGTTTAAATTCGAGAAAGAGAAAGATCAAGAAATTACTCCAACATGTATCGAAGACAGAAACCGTATTTTTCAGACTATACGCCGCACTTTTTGGGGGAAATTAATTGTATAAAATCACAGACCAGGAACTGACATTTTATCTTGAAGGTCAAGTTGTAGTAAAAACAATAGAAGAGAGAACAACACTGTTAACGTCACATATGAACAGTTCTTCAGACAACTATAACATAAACAACAGAACAAAACAAGTTTACCAAACCCTCCATCTCACTCCAAATCACTAAATCCATTCAATTCTTCATCCTCGGTGTCACTTCTGAGCAACTCCGCGACCTTCATTCCAGTTACAGTTATTCCGGTCTTTCTGAATCCCGACAGGATGGTTTCAGTGTCACTGAAGTCCAGGTTTTGTCCATCCATCCAGTGACTTCAGGAAAGTTTCATGGTGCATCCTCTCGGTGTCACAAGTTTCTCTCTCACTCCAAACTTTCTTTCTGCTGCTCGATTATCGTTTTCAGCTGCAGATTTCACGACTTGCGTTTTGTAATCTACAGAATCTGATTTTCTTTTTTGAGGTCATTTGTGTTCAGTCTTCTCAGTCGTCTTTATAAGTTTGTTTAAATGTTAAATTGATCGACTGACATGATACAGACAGGACAGAGGCTGTTTCTGCAGGAGACATGTGCAGTAGAGCCAAGTGACAGTGGTACAGAAGGAACAGGAGCAGCAGATACTGACACACAAGACTAGAGCCTCTCCACACTTCACTCTCAACATTTTAATATATAAGTTGCACCGTAAACACCCAAACCATGAAAAAAGTGACACTTATAGTCTGAAAAATATAGTAATCCTCTTCAGGTATGTTTCTGATGAGAGAAGAACATTATCACATGGTAGAAAGCTCCAAAAAGTTGACACGCACATTCATACACTGACGCTTAACCAATTATGTTCATGTCGAGAGCAGGATTTGAACCGCCAACCTTCAGACCTGTGGACTAAACAGTTTCGTGCGCTCGTGTGTCTCCAGGTGAATGCAGACGTGGTGGAGATGATCCAGCTGCCCAACGGGAAAGTGGTGGAGATGAGCAGCTCCACCAAGTCTGTGGGACAATGTATCAGCACCAAAGCCGTAGGCTGCGACGAGAGGAACGACATCACCCACAAGTACAAGTACGCAGAAGGTACTACATCACCCACTCACAAGTACAAGTACACACAGGGTACTACATCACTCACAAGTACAAGTACACAGAAGGTACTACATCACTCACAAGTACAAGTACACAGAAGGTACTACATCACTCACTCACAAGTACAAGTACGCAGAAGGTACTACATCACTCACAAGTACAAGTACACAGAAGGTACTATATCACCCACAAGTACAAGTACGCAGAAGGTGCTACATCTCACACAAGTACAAGTACACAGAAGGTACTACATCACTCACAAGTACAAGTACGCAGAAGGTACTACATCACTCACTCACAAGTACGCAGAAGGTACTACATCACCCACAAGTACAAGTACGCAGAAGGTACTACATCACTCACCCACAAGTACAAGTACGCAGAAGGTACTACATCAGTCACAAGTACAAGTACACAGAAGGTACTACATCACTCACAAGTACAAGTACGCAGAAGGTACTACATCACTCACTCACAAGTACAAGTACAGAAGGTACTACATCACTCACAAGTACAAGTACACAGAAGGTACTACATCACTCACTCACAAGTACAAGTACGCAGAAGGTACTACATCACCCACTCACAAGTACAAGTACAGTACTCACTCACATACAGTACTACATCACTCACAAGTACACAGTACACAGTACAGTACAGTACTACATCACTCACAAGTACAAGTACAAAGGTACTAGTACAAGTACAGAGGTACTACATCAGTACAAGTACAAGTACAAGTACAAGTACGCAGAAGGTACTACATCACTCACAAGTACAAGTACACAGTAAGTACAGTACATACACACACACAGTACATACACTACACTCACTCAGTACAGTACAGTACAGTACAGTACTACATCACTCACTCACAAGTAAAGTACACATCACTCACAGTACACAGTACACATCATACAGTACAGTACTACATCACTCACTCACAAGTACAAGTACACAGAAGGTACTACATCACTCACAAGTACAAGTACAAGGTACTACATCACTCACAGTACAGAAGGTACTACATCACCCATACAAGTACACAGAAGTACAACAAGTCAAGTACACAGAAGGTACTATATCACTCACAAGTACAAGTACGCAGAAGGTACTACATCACCCACAAGTACAAGTACGCAGAAGGTACTACATCACCCACAAGTACAAGTACGCAGAAGGTACTACATCACCACAAGTACAAGTACAAGTACACAGAAGGTACTACATCTCACAAGTACAAGTACGCAGAAGGTACTACATCACTCACAAGTACAAGTACTAGCATTAATAATGATGCAATATTCTTCTATATGTGACAGATGTTCAGCATCACTTTTAAATGTTGTACTGTATTCATTCAGTCCACTTTTATTCATAAGACACAGCTGCCCTGGGGCAGACTGACAGAAACGAGGCTGCCATTCTGTGTCCTTTGTGTCTCGTCCACAGGATCTGAGGAGGAGAGGAGAGTCTTTGAAAAAGCTCAGCATCGAAACAAGCTGCAGAAGAAAGGACTGGAGCCAGGGCTGCACCTCAAGGTAAAACACAAATGTCACAACTAGATTCTATATGATATATCATGTGTTATGAGTTTGCAAATTCTTGATTTCCTCTGGGAGCTCCGGTCTCTTCTTCATTCTAAGCGCCTGTTTACACGAGAACACATGCGGGTAAAAATGACAAAATATTTTATCGGAAGTGCCTTTCATTTAGATGGTGATGGCGTTTTTGAGGCTAAAAATGCAAAAATCTGAAACCTCCCTCCAGAGTGGAAAAGTTGAATACGCGTTTCTGTCTACACTGCCCAAGACGCAAAACTCTGGTCAGATCTGCTCACGTTACGTACACGTTTACGTCACATACATCACCACCGAACCACCTGACATGCATACACAATCGAATTCCACACAATTTAGCGTCACCGTATGAACACAGACTTCCTCCCGAAAACTCTCGTCGAAACGCGGAATAAAAAGTGAAGACGCGATGCCACTTTTGTGTCTTCTGTTCAGACCCTCATCATATAAACGTAGCCTCAAAACACGTACAACACTCTCCTCCCCTGTGGACCTAGGACTCCCCTGAAAAAATAAAACTCTAAATCTCAGGGACTTTTTTTGTTAAATGAAGAATACATAAAAAATATTCATTCAAATGCATCCACTAAACTGAATGTTCACCTCAAATAAATATATCACCTTTTTCCATCAGTTATTTGATTGTTTTGATTTTTAGTTAATTGTTCAAAGAAATAAAAAATATATAAATAGATCCTGAGAGCAGATATTACTCATGTAGCTGTGGTGTTGTAGCTGTGCTGTTTCCTGTGCTGCAGATTAAGCTGGTGGAGGGGATGGTGGTGGGCTCAGACTTTGAGATCTTCGCTCTGCTCTCAAACCACTCCATGAAGGCCAGGAGCTGCAGCGTCATGTTCTCCGCTCTGAGCGTCTCCTACAACGGAAAACTGGGAGACAGCTGTGGATTCAGCTCTCAGAAGGTGGACATCGAGCCTGGACAAGGTCAGACCAGAGCTGCATGACGAGATACTGTATTTATGTACAGGATTATAACAATAGACCTTTCTCACAACAACCTGAAATGCCGCGCTTTAGGTTTGCGGAACTTCTGGTTTAAATCTTCAACCAACAAGGTCCACAAAAGATAAACATTCTAACATGAAGAAATTATCCACGACTATCAAGGTAAAAAAGGCGAAAACGTAAAAGAGAACAATGACGACGCTTAGTGAACTAGTGAACTACTGAACAAAACATTATGGTCATGAATAAAACAGAAGTAACTTGTTCACTCAGACTGATTCTACAATTAAAATTAAAAATCAATTTCATGATGTCAATTTTAGCACAGATGGATAGATTTGTGCGGTTCGAATGCGAGACATCTCTACGAAACCATAACGTTAATTTTGCTCAGTAGTAGGGATGTAACAATAACTGAAATATCGTGAAATCGTATCGTCAAAAGTCTCACTATAATACTTAAATTAAAAACTTAAATTTATTGTTTTGGTGCAGCAAAATCCCTGGGTAAACTACATATACCATGATCCTTTGCTCCATTTCAGTGCAGACTACAGGAAAAGTAATACAAATAATAATAAGAATCATAATTTTTAAGCACATTTAAATGTTAATTCTCTGGTTTATGTCACAACTAAAGTCATATCAAGGCAAGGAAAACGTTGCATTTTCACAATTTTATTAGCTTCTACAGAATATCGCAGTAAATATCGTACTGTGGGATGTATATCGTGATAATATCGAGAAATTTTAATATCGTTACATCCCTACTCAATAATTCACTAATGCATCGTCATTGTTCTCCTTTAAGTTTTCGTCTTTCTTCCCTTGATAATTGTGGATAAATTCTTCATGTTAGAATGTTTATCCTTTGTGGAGCTTGTTGGTTGAAGATTTGGTGATGGGGCAGATTTATGAAGCTGCTGGAGAATATGACACACATTTACACACACATTTTGTCACAGAAAACCATTAACCAGGAGTTCCGCAAACTTAAAGCGTGGCATTTTCGGTCTTTGGCTACTTTCAGACTGCAGGGATTAACGCTCAATTCCGAATTTTTTGTGAAATCCGATGTTTTTGCGAGGTCATCCACATTTCCAATTAAAAGCGACTTGTATGTGATCCCTAGTGTGAACGTTAAACGGCCCGAAAGTGTCCCGCATGCGCACTGGAGACACGATGACGTCAACCGCAGCGAGCGTACTCTGTATTTATGGAAGTTGTCCAAACATGGATGCAAGCATTGAGCACCTGGCAATTTTGAAGTTCCTCTCGTACCGGAGCCAGAACATGAACAACTTACTTGTTTTAAAGAGGAGATTGAGAAGGAGAAGGACGAGGTTTTTGGCCGTGGCGTTAAGTAGGACAGCGGCAGCAATGTCAGTTGAAAGGAACGTGTGGATGTGGAGACGTAGCCAAGGGTGGTGAGTGGAGATGCGCTTCGCTTCACAGAGTTCATTAACAATTTTCGCCTACTTCAGCGCAGAATAGTGACATTTGTGGCTTGTTGATAACGTGTAGGTCGAGTGAATGCGCTTTGGCCGTTCACACTGAAGTTGCATGTCAAAAGATCGGATATGTATCGGTTTTAGGAGCACATATCGAAGTGGCCTGGGTCGCATTTGAAAAAATCTGATCTGTGTCGTTCAGACTGTCATTAAAAGATCAGATACAGGTCACATAGAAGCCAAAAAATTCGGATTTGGGTCACTTCAGGCTGCAGTCTGAACGCAGCCTTTGTAAAAAAGGTCTATAAAGTTAAATCATAATATCAAATAGTTTTCATTATTCATTCACTCTGCACACGGTGGTGGTAACATGCTTCTGTAGCCGCAGTTTTGGCGTGAACAGTTCTCGCGTGTATAGTTTCAAAGGCAGAGACACAACAGCGGTGCTCTGAGGGTCACAGCGCAAATAAACCTCTGGACAGCTGCAGTCTGAATGAGGCTTTGGTCTTGACTTTATACTGTCAGCTTTGGATTTTTAAATAGTTTGCCTGTAATTTAAAAGAAGCTTGATGGAGACCAGACCAAGTTACAGGCCAGATCTGTTTTTAGGTATTTTTGACCTATAAAACCATTTACCTGCACTCAGAGAAACCAGCACACTCATATCACTGTGTTCATGCTCCATCAGTTTATCCTGGATATTTACTAAAACTTTGCGAATTTAAAGGTTTTTACAGGTTTCTAACAACAAAAAATAATATACACTTTCAAGTTCAAACATGAGACTGTGGAGCACTGAGACAACTTCAGTAAAAGCCGTTTTTAACAGCTGAAAAATACAACAAAATACTGAGTCTTACAGCGTCAGTTTAGTTCAAGAGCAACACAAGTGACACAGAGGTGAGCCTGGAGTTAAAAGCAGGACCCGACCGATATAGATTTTTTTGGATCTGGTATGATACTGATAAAAGGAGCTTTGGAGCTGCTGATAGTCGATATAAGAGCGGATATATTTAGTGAAGGGCAGTACGGCGTCATCAGCCGGTTTCACTTTGTGGAAACCGTCTGACCTCGCAGTGTTAGAATTTGTTTGCTCGACGGTAGGCAGATACTTTTTTTATTTAACCAATCGCTGCTATTTGGTAGTCACATATGTAATGCGCTGGTAACGGGGCTAACTGGAATATTAAGCTTTTCCCAAATCCCATTGGAAGAAGGACAATAACATCTTTCCCCTTGATAAAATTCACCAAACATTCTCTTTGTTCTTTAAATCCTTGACCTCGGGAATTGTTGCCAACACAGAATATATGACTCTTTACTAATTGACTGGTGCCTGAACTTGCACTTGCGCAGTTCTTGCAAAACCGTCTAGTGTATTTTGATTCCTGACCTAGTTGCTGGAGAGAAGTGAAATTGACTGGAGACACTAGGTGGCACCAGCCTGACAAATACGACATCACAGACACAGACAAAATAATCCTCTGATAGATATTGACATATTAGGACATTTATCTGTCTCTGAATTTTATTTAAGTGCTGTAATGTAGAGAGTCTGAGCTTTATAATGAGGGATAACATGCCCACGTCGACTATCGGCCCATATCGGCAATATTTAGGCAACAAGTCCTAAACAATTTTCCTTGGGTGAGCTACCTTTACAAAACGAAAATTCCAGAGAGCTACTCATTTTAGCGTTGACAAAAAATAAAGTATACATAAGATCCATGGCAAGACATAGATAGGGTACAGTTAGATAAAATATAAAACATTATTTGTTTATGAGTGCACAAAGTTAGGCATCAGAATGATAGTTTTACAATAATAATGGGCAATAGGCATTTAATTTAGAACATTTGAGTTATTCAGGACAGTACGTGCAATTCAGAAATCCCTTGGTGAGCGACTTGAAAGAGGGTGGAGAGTTACTGGTAGGTTCTGAGCTACAGGTTGGAGACCCCCGATTTAGGCCGATAGCCGATATGTCCGTATCGTGTCCACATCAGCCGATAATATCGGCTAACCAAAATATCAGTCGAGCCTTAGTTAAAAGGTGAATGTATTAAACAGCATACTGCTTTATTTTGTTTAAAGGTATAAAATAATATAAAAACTCCTGGTAGAAGTTTGAATCATTTTGGGAAAGTAACTGCTGCTGCCGTTTTTGTTACCTGAATCCTGGTTTTTCATAACCGGGATACTGGCACATCCAGGATACTAAAATCAGGATACTGCATCTACAGGCCACAGTATCCTCGATTCTCTGAGAAAAACCCAGTGAGAGTCTCCTGGTTTCTCATAACCGGGATACTGACACATCCAGGATACTGAAGTCAGGACACTGCTTCTACATGAACACTCAGATAATCACGATACTCAAAAACCCGATCATAACCGAGATACTCAAGCACATAAACTCACTCACTGTCACTTTTAAATTATTGTATTATTATTGTATTATTATAGGATTTTGTTGTTGTTCTCCTTGCAGAGCTGCGTGTTCCTCTGAAGTTGGAGTATCAGAGCTACGGTTCGGCCCTGACCTCAGACAGACTCATCCAGGTGTCTGCTCTGTCTGTGGACAAACAGACCATGGACTTCTGTAAAGCCCAGAAGACCATCGTACTGGACGAGCCGCACATAAACATACAGGTACTACTACTACTGCTGTACTACTACTACTACTACTACTACTACTACTACTACTACTACTACTACTACTACTACTACTACTGTACGGACCCTTTAACTTACACTTAAACAAGCTTTACTGATCCACAAGGGAAATTATTTGGACACAGTAGCTCAGGTCAGTTGTTTTACAGTTGTAGGGAGTATTATCTGTTACATACTGGTGGGTTGTTGTACAGTTGTAGGGAGTATTATCTGTTACATACTGGTGAGTTGTTGTACAGTTGTAGGGAGTATTATCTGTTACATACTGGTGAGTTGTTGTACAGTTGTAGGGAGTATTATCTGTTACATACTGGTGAGTTGTTGTACAGTTGTAGGGAGTATTATCTGTTACATACTGGTGAGTTGTTGTACAGTTGTAGGGAGTATTATCTGTTACATACTGGTGAGTTGTTGTACAGTTGTAGGGAGTATTATCTGTTACATACTGGTGAGTTGTTGTACAGTTGTAGGAGATTTATCTGTTACATACTGGTGAGTTGTTGTACAGTTGTAGGAGTATTATCTGCTACATACTGGTGAGTTGTTGTACAGTTGTAGGGAGTATTGTCTGCTACATAAGGGTGAGTTGTTGTACAGTTGTAGGGAGTATTGTCTGCTACATAAGAGTGGATTATTGTACAGTTGTAGGGAGTATTATCTGTTACATAAGGGTTGGTTGTTGTACAGTTGTAGGGAGTATTATAGCTCATAAACAACAGGATGGAGCAAAGTGATCACAAAATATGAATTATTAAGGGAGTCTGGCAAATTCAAAATCCTGGTTTATAAATGTTTACCATTGTTTTGTTTCTTGTTTTTACATGATTTCTTTATTTACATCTAATCTACATGATGATGATAATACATTTTATTTATAGGCACCTTTGTGGGCACTCAAGGCCACCATACAAACTACAGTTAAATAAACGTTAAATAAATAGTAAACATGGAGCATCTTATGGAACCACAATCCTGATTTTGAGGTTTAACTGGAGAAACAATGACCCCACAAAAAGTTCAATTTATTCATTATATTCAAAATTTCCTGAATTTGAGGCCACAAATTGTCTCATGTTATTATTTTATTGCTTTATTTGACACCAGTCTTGCTATTTTTTATTGCTACATATTTAGAAGCAGCAATAAAAAATTCTAAATAAGTAGAAAGAAAAAAATAGCAAGAGACTGATGTCAAATAGTTTAGTTTTTACTCTTTGTTATTGCGATATAATGTGATGTCTGAGCTACTGTGTCCGAGTCATTTCTCTTGTGGTCTGTCTAAGTCTTAAGTCTAGTCTAAAAAAAAAAAAAAAACATTTCAACATCGGAACTAAAGTTTTTTTTTTGTTACAGGCTCAAAAGCATCTGTCTCATTGAAACTTGCTTTACACATTCTGATGATACAGGATGTTACAGTGTTTTGTTTTTTCCACTGAATTTCACTTTTGGTTTAAACTTCCTCTAAAACATGTGACTGACTCAGCGCTCAAACCACAACCACAGTCCACAGTTCACAGACAAACTGAAACAGGGTCATATCTTCTGATCTTACGGAACTTAAAGAGTTGTATCATCACGCTGTTTTCAGATCTATGTTGTAATGTTCTTTCAACACAAACAGACCTGGAGTTGTGTTTTGGTTCATTCACACACATTTAACACACAAAACCCTGTGTATTTACACCTTTTGATGCCATGTGGTAATACAGGAAGTGCTCCACTGTGTTTTTAAACTCATACTAAGGCCCCGTCCACACGTTCAGTGCGTATTCAAGTCGTTTTCGTTGTGGGTGCAGTGTTCGTTCACACTAATCCGATGGAAAACGGCTCCAGAGATGGAATGATCTGGTGCCTCCAGCTCCCACGAATTCAACCGACACTGTTTGGACACCTGAAAACGCTGATATGCTGATGTAATGTGAAGTAATTTACCGACAAAACGCTAAAAGGCTAGAATATATGTCCATTCATAGAAACGTGTGTCTGTGTGTACGACCTGCACATGTATAATTTCTGAAAAGTTTAACATGAACCATCTCCAACATGACAGAAACACAGAACAGACTCACCATCAGCAGAACACCTCTCTGTCACAGAAAGAACACTCATATTCCACTGAGTCGTGTCCTTTAGTCCGACAGAAGCTGAACTGCATCAGCGACACAATATCGAGCTGTTTTTTTTTTTGAGCTCTTAGTTTATGCAAATGAGCCATGTGGTTTTAAGTTTTCATTTCTGTAAAATGTAAACAAATATGCTCAAAGCTGTGTGGATAGGGAAGGATTGCAGACACAGAAACGACATGTCTGGATGCAAATAATTTCCGATATGGTGATACGGTGATTGGTTTCGGTGTACACGTAGTTTTACACCTTCACTAGAATCGTTTGGACAATTTCAGCCCTGGAATTTCCAATCTCTACAAAAGGTAAAAGGAGCTGTTAACATGAAAACTACAGCTTCATGACATCACAAAGTGGAACAGAGCATGTTGAGCTTTGGAGATGTAGACAGACTAATAATAAAGAGTTACTCAAACGTGTGAATGAAACAAAACACAACTCCAGGTCTGTTTTTGAGGAGGTAACAACTTTATAACTTATGACTTATAACATTACAATGTGACTTTAACATTTTTTTTATTGCATTTTTTCAAGTGTTAATTAAAATAAATAAATAAATAAAAAACACAAATCAGACGCGTTTCAACATCAGTATTTTACATTTCATTTATTGTTAGTAATCAGCCGTTTCCTTCCTCTTTAGGTGAAAGGGGAAGTGTGTGTGAACTGTTCGTCCTGTGTGGATCTGACCCTGACCAACCCTTTACCCGAGTCTCTGCACAAGTGCAGCTTCACCGCGGAGGGGGCGGGGCTAACTGGGACTCAGCCAGTCACAGTCCAGTAAGTCTCACCTGGACCTGTCGTAAACCTGGAGTCCACTGTATGATTTTTGATGTCATATAAGCTTCATGGAGTATTCAAAGTATTCAGAACACAACACTCCAGCTGGATCATGTAACAGAATATGTTACAGAATATATTTTAAATCATGTCTGGAGCTAAACAGAACTGATAGTGTTGGGGAGTAACAGATTACATGAACCAGAGTTATGTAATCAGAGTACAAATTATGAGTAAGTGTATTCAGTTACAGTTACTGTTTCAGTGAGTGGGAATTAGATTACAGTTACTTTGTTGAAATAAATGGATTACACAGCGGTATTTTCCTGTTTTTACATTTTGGGCTATATCCCTTCTTTTTTCTTTTTTTCTAATTCCACTCATTGCCGGACACTAAACCAGGTCTAAACCAGATCCAAACCAGGTCTAAACCAGGTCTAAACCCAGGTCTAAACCAGGTCTAAACCAGGTCTAAACCCAGGTCTAAAGGTCTAAACCAGATCTAAACCCCGGTCTAAACCAAGTCTAAAACCAGGTCTAAACCCAGGTCTAAACCAGGTCTAAACCAGATCTAAATCCAGGTCTAAACCAAGTCTAAAACCAGGTCTAAACCAGGTCTAAACCCAGGTCTAAACCAGGTCTAAACCAGGTCTAAAACCAGGTCTAAACCCAGGTCTAAACCAGGTCTAAACCAGGTCTAAACCAGGTCTAAACCCAGGTCTAAAACCAGGTCTAAACCAGGTCTAAACCAGGTCTAAACCAGGTCTAAAACCAGGTCTAAAACCAGGTCTAAACTAGGTCTAAACCAGGTCTAAACCCAGGTCTAAACTAGGTCTAAACCAGGTCTAAAACCAGGTCTAAAACAGGATTTAACAGGACTAAAGCTGCATGGATCGTGTCTCCTCGTCTTCTATCAATAATATTTTTAATAAAGTCTGCGCTTTTTATTTTCTTTTAACAGACAAAACATCTTATGTGAAGATTTCCTCGTCTTTGCTTCTCTACAGCAAATCAAGTAATCCAAAGTATTCAGATTACATTACGCACCTTAAGTACTTTAATAGATTACATTACAAACTACATTTTGGGATATGTAATCTGTAATCTGTAGGGGAATACATTTTAAAAGTAACACTCCCAACACTGAGAACTGACCACTGATTACTACTGATTCTTCTAAAAGTAATGTGTGTAAAATCCCTCAGTCGTCCACAGTGTTGGGAAGGTTACTTTTAAAATGTATTCCCCTACAGATTACAGATTACATACCCCAAAATGTAGTTTGTAACGTAATCCATTAAATTACTTAAAGTGAGTAACGTAATCGGAATACTTTGGATTACTTGGTTTGCTGTAGAGAAGCAAAGACGAGGAAATCGTAACGTAAGAAGTTTTGTCTGCTAAAAGAAAATAAAAAGCCCAGACTTTACTGAACCAGATTAAAAATAGTATTGATAGAAGAGGAGACGTGATCCACACAACATGATTTAGTCCTGTTAAATCCTATTTTAGACATAGTTTAGACCTGGTTTAGTCCTGGTTTAGTCTTGGTTTAGTCCTGGTTTAGATCTGCTTTAGACCTGGTTTTAGACCTGGTTTAGACCTGGTTTGGACCTGGTTTAGTCTTGGTTTAGTCCTGGTTTAGATCTGGTTTAGACCTGGTTTTAGACCTGGTTTAGACCTGGTTTGGACCTAGTTTAGACCTGGTTTGGACCTAGTTTAGACCTGGATTTAGACCTGGTTTTAGTCCTGGTTTTAGTCCAGGTTTAGTCCTGATTTAGACTTAGTTTAGACCTGGTTTTAGATCTGGTTTTAGACCTGGTTTGGACCTGGTTTAGTGTCTGGCAATGAGTGGAATTACCGAGAAAAAAAAAAAAAAAAAAGGGATATAGCCCAAAATGTGAAAACAGGAAAATACCGCTGTGTAATCCATTTATTTCAACAAAGTAACTGTAATCCAATTACCACTCACTGAAACAGTAACTGTAACTGAATACAGTTACTCATAATTTGTACTCTGATTACATAACTCTGGTACATGTAATCTGTTACTCCCCAACACTGGTCGTCCAGTAGAATCTTTGGCAAAAGAGAAATTCAGTTTATCGACTGAACAAAAGTTTATTTGGTTGAATACGTTTCGCAGCTGCTCCTTCAGCTCTGGGTGTAGCCAGGTCAGGTCCAGAGGTGTGAAATCTCCATTATGACCCCACACTCAGTGCAGTTCAATAGGCCTGATTAATTAACACAAACAAGTAGGTGTGGTAGTTTTAGTGTAGTTAGCTCCTCCCTGCAGACAGATATAAGGAAGTGTCCACCAGCATTTGACCAGAACTGAAGAAAATAAACTTTTGTCCAGTTGTCAAATTGAATTTCTCCTTTGCTCCTTTTGCCATGGCTTCTAAAAGTAATCTAATTACTACTCTGATTACATTATTTCAAAAGTGAATGAATACTAAAAGTTATTTAAAGAAACATACAACCCAGGAACCAACTTATAAAAAGCTATATACTTCACATTAACACTTTCTGTTATAGAACGTGATTTCGCACAGCGGAGACAATACAGTTCTCCCCAAACCAATATGTGTGTTTTGGTTCACAATTCATCCGTGCTTCTTAAACACAACAGATTCCAGGCACTCCAAAAAAGTAGAAAAAGTAAAAAATCGCACGAGGAAAAATACAGTTAAAAGGCCTTTATTTGAATGGCCAAAGCCGACATGTTTCTGTTTGTCTTTTTTACTGTTTTACAACACAGATCAATGGATTATACACATTTTTGGCAGGGAAAAAGTAATTAAAAGTTAGTAGGGCAAGTAATTGTAATCTAATCACTCTGTTTTCATTTATACCTTACTTACATTACTAAAACAGAAATCTGATTAGTGCCCAACACTGGTTAGAACACGTCTGACCAGCCTCTGTGATGCATTTGAACGTATTCATTAGTAAAGACCACGCGACAAAAATGGAATACGATAATGATATTTATTGACGGCAGATAGACGTGATTGCAGGGGTTAGACTCGAGGTGGGGGTGCAACCTCCAATCCAAAATGATCACCCAGCTGAATCGAATCCGTGTATCATTCGTTCATTCCGTTTTTCAATATAAAACCAAAAATAAGAAAATGAAAAAAACAACAATTTTCTTCATTATTTGTCTCCAAAACCAAAATGAAATGATCTGTTTAGATAATGATTAGTTTTTTCAGTTTTTGATTTTGTGTTTAAATGAAAAATGGAAAAAACGAATAACGGCCGTTTCCCGTTTACGTGACTTCCATGACTGCGATGCTGGACTTTTGCACCACATACGGACTGAACCAGGACTGACTCAGGACCAGGACCAGAGCGGTGGTCCCAGCCTGGTCCTGGTCTGGTCTCGGTCTTAGTCCTGATCTCTGTCTGGTCCCGGTCTGGTCTCAGTCTCTGGTCTGGTCTCTGGTCTGGTCTCGGTCTGGTCCCGGTTTTGAGACAGTCCTGGTTCAGTCCGTATGCGGTGCAAAAGTTCAGCATCGCAGTCACGGAAGTCACGTAAACGGGAAACGGCCGTTATCCGTTTTTTTCCATTTTTCATTTAAACACAAAATAAAAAACTGAAAAAACAAATCATTATCTGTTTTTTTCATTTTGGTTTTGGAGACAAATAATGAAGAAAACTGTTATTTTTTCGTTTTCTTATTTTTGGTTTTATATTGAAAAACGTAATGAACGAATGACACACAGGATTGAATCAGAACCCCTCCTCCTTAAAGATGACGTCTTCGGACTGAAGGATGGGCGAAAAATCATGGATGTAGAGGAGCAGACTTCAAAAAGGGCGGGACTGTTGAGCTCCATTTAGTATTCTCAAAACTAAATACATTTTCTAAGTATTTGTCCCAACACTACCTGCATTTTTCTGTTCTTCTCCGTTGAGTCCCCTGACACGTGTCCTCATTCTTCAGGGTGGGAGATGTTGGAGCCAAAGAAGAGGCCACGGCTCGGGTTGAGTTCACTCCGTCCACAGTCGGCTCCACCGTCCTCCTGGTGAACTTCGACAGCAAAGAACTCAGGAACATCAAGAACTTCATCAGCGTCAAGGTGAAGAAGCAGCAGACCACAGCCAACATCTGAGACAATCCATCTTCTGGGGATTTTAAGAGCATAAAACATTTATTTTTTTCTAATCATGACTTTGCTTGATGAGGTGGAACCTGTACTTATGTCCGGAAGTTCAAATTTAAGCCAGAAACTGCTTGCTTCCATGGAGATGCTGTTTGCTTTGCTACCTGGAATGTTCCACAGTATAGCATTAAACTTCTATATCTCCATGGAAACAAGCAGTTGGCACCACCAGGCCAAGTTACAGGTCCAAAAAATTATACATTTTAACGTATAAAGTGAATTTTAGTTCCACAAAAATAACATTGACGGTCTAATTTGGACTTGATTTCATTTTTGTATTTGTGAAAAGGAAAGCGACTACCTTACTGTACGCAATGATTTACGAGTTTATTTCTATGTAAACAAACAAAAGGTTAAAAAATATGCTTTCTAAATTATTATTTTTTTTGTGTATTTGAGTAAAATTACTGCAGTCTTGCCCCAGTACAGATCTATTGTACAAGCAGCTCTTTAGGTCAGAGTAAGTCTGTATAAGTGCACTGTCTGTAATTAATTATAAAGTGTTTTATTGTCACAAAATCAGGAAGTGTGTTGTTAGCATACTAGTTGCTATTAGATTTTCTCTCGAGGCAAAACTCTTTGAAAAGCACTTATAATTGTGGTGAATAATTATGATGCTGTGAATGCAAAAGGTCAGTGAGGAATGACTTTGGACCACTTCAAACTGTTAAAATGAATTACCGTATTTTCTGCACTATAGGGCGCTCTGGATTATAAGGCGCGCTGTCATCGAATGGTCTATTTTTGAACTTTTTTCACATATAAACCGCACCGGACTGTAAGGCGCATTAAACGAAACAGTTAGATAAATCAGTCAAACTTTATTTAACGCGTTCACAAAAACTCTTAACTTTGTTCAATTGTAACGCGTAAAAAAAAAAATACTGTATTCACAATAACTCATAATTGTTGAAACAGTTGGGTGATTCCGGCATCCAGCACATCCACATCCCTCTCGTCATTATCTGAGTCAGTGTGGTTACTGTTTCCTGGCAGTTCAGTGATGATTCTGGTCTTGGTGAAAGTTCGGACCACAGTTGATACTGATCCTTAGCCCGGGCGTCCACAATCCGTTGGCAGATCGTGCCTCGGCGCTGTCTCTCTGTCTTGGTGAATGTGTGTTCTCCTTCTCTCATCCACTGCTCCCACGCAGCTCGCACTTTCACTTTATAACAGCCTTGAGTTTAAAGTGGGTGTTGTGAGCGTGTCTCTTGACAGGAGCATTTTGATATTAAAAGGAATCACAGTATGTATTACTCCTGATGCTCCTGAGGACGGGAGCCGTAATGCTGCAAGTGGTGCGGCTTTGTAGTTTACTAAAGTCATACTAAGATGCCCCAATAAATTCTTAAATATTATTTTTTATAGTTGTTATATATATATATATATATATATATAGTCAGTACAGTCTTTTTTTATTACATTTAAAGTGCACTCTATAATGCAGAAAATACGGTAGTTCTGTGCATTTAAAAAAGCCACCAGATTTTTTTTTTTTTTTATCGTATTAAAATAAAAAAGGGGGACATTATTATAAAGTGGGAGTCTTTGTTTTGGACGGGTGTAGAGTGCACAGTTGTGAAATTTGTGTGGAGAAAGAAAGAGCCCTAAATGTAAGTGGATTTATGAAATAATTTGACATGATAGCCAGACATTTATTTTCTGTGTTTGTGTTTTCATATTATACAAAATGTTGTCTCCCACTTGGGTCTATGTACTATTCGATTTTTTGAATTTCAGTTAAGAACAAATACAATAAAACGGGAAAACATTTTATTTCATTTTATTCCATTTTAGTGTCAAACAAGAACAGATTTCGACATCTATTTCATTTCCAATATTTAATTTAAAATTTATTTCAAATTACACCAATCAAAAAACAGTTTCGTGCTTGTTTTAATTTTGATATTTTATTCTCTTTGGTTTATTTGCCTCAGAAATTCTTCTGCTAGAAGGACTCACCTGAAAAATCGTTGCAATTTTGTTTTAGAAAGTCACTGTTGAACTCATTGACGAAAAACGGGAAGCAGCGATAAACTCTCCTTTGTTCAGTGGATGCCATGGATCTATAATAAAAAGTAAATAAAAACTAAATATTTTATTACAGTTCTGCGGTTGACACTGAATTCACATTGAACTTCCGGGGCAAATAAACCAGAGAGAATAAAATATCAAATTAAAAAAGGCACTGAGACTGTTTTTTGACTGGTGTTATATAGAATAAACTTTAAATTAAACATCTGAAATGAAATAGAGGTTGAAATCTGTTTTGTTTGACACTAAAATGGAAAAATTAAATAAACTGTTTTCTCATTTTATTATTTTTCATTCTTAATTGAAATTTAAAAGAACAAATGATCCATGGACCCACTTGTACTGTGATTATAATGTCCACCTTTCATTTGTAACTTAACTTATTAACATATAATTATAACTAATACGTTTTTTTTTAGAACTAAATCAAGAACTAATATAAACTCATAATAAATAACTCCAAATATTGAGCTTTTAGACTCCTTTCATGTCATTTTTACCTCCGCCAAGGAGGTTATGTTTTTGCCGGCGTTTGTTTGTTTGTTTGTTTGTTTGTTTGTCTGTTAGCAACATAACTCAAAAAGTTATGGACCGATTTTGATGAAATTTTCAGGATTTGTTGGAAATGTGAAAAGGAAGAACTGATTTCATTTTGGGGGTGATCCGGAAGAAATCCTGGATTCTGGATCACTTTGAAATTTTAGTTAACATTGCGGTAAATGGGGCCAAAAATTTTGTTTCTCAATATCTCGGTTAATTATTGACCAAACCCCATGAAATTTGACTCAGGGATGGACAGTGGGATCCTCTTTCATATTCCAAAGGCTGATCCGGATCTGATCCAGAAGATTGATTTTATCGCAATTTATATAAAAAATGGGGGTAGTCCTTGGCGGAGGTCTGCGCTCTCTGAGTGCTTTTCTAGTTTGTCTTTGTCTTCTATTTCTTAACCTGATGTAACTCATTTGAAGTCTGCACTGTAGCTGTTGCATCTTGCGTGCGGGGAATCGTACTCCGGCCACGTTGAGCAAGGCGTCTCACGGCTTCTTTTCCATCTCCTCATACACATACACGGTCACAGTCATGATTGGTTTGTATATGGACTAGAACAGGCCTCGTGTGAAAGTTCAGAACCTCCAGAATTCCCTCCCTGAGCTGCAGCGGCTGCACTGGCACTGATTCATGACTGTTTGCAGGTGCTGGGGTTTAGGTAGAGACCGTTCAGATCATCGAGAGGCATTTTAAGTTTAAACCAACTGGATTTCAGCACTGAACCTGTCAACGCAAATGTAATGAAATGCGACTTGCTACAGCGTGTGCGCGTTAGTAACTGCTTTAATGAGAGCGAACAACAACCTGTAATTCGTTGTTAGAATGAGAAACATTGAAAGCGTGACAGCGCCCTTTTGTGACCTGTATATCATTACATCTCCCCTTTTCTAATTTGATTTAACTGAAATACGGCATATACAACATTACTGTATGGCAGGGGTGTCAAACTCATTTTGGTTCGGGGGCCGTATCCAACCTACTTTGATCCTAAAGGGGCCGGATCAGAAAACTCATGTCATATATCCCCCAAAAATAGCAAAAAGTTCAAAGATTTGTGCAGAGAAACACAAATCTATTACAGAAATCTTTTTTTAATTGCTGAACTCTTTCTTTTACAAAATATTATAATATTATGAACAACTAGAAACTTTAAGAAAAATGTAATTTCAACACAATGTTTTAACATGAACTTGTATGCAAACAGGAATAAGTCTCTTTTTCTTGGAAAATCCTGCACTCGGCTCCACTTTTCTCATTTTGGACATTTTGCTGATGAGGGTGTCACGGTCAACAGTCAAAACGATCGTCCTTTAAGAGCGTTTGGAAAGAGACAAGTCTTCGTTTGTGCTGTTCTGGTGGGAGGGGCCACGTACAGAGACGCTGGAGATAAAGATATAAAATAGCAACATTTGAATCAGTCTTTCTTTGGGTAACCTGTAAGAGAACAATAACACTAAGAGTAAACATTTAAGGTCAGTTCTCAGGTATGTGCATTTCAGGTAAGTTCATTCTCTCTGTTATAAATTCAGTCTTTCTATGGGTTTGTGTTTTCTGAATGTGTATCGTCTTTCTTTTGTCTGAATGTTCTCGCTTTTCCCCTCGGTATATGTATGGGTATCTTCTGCATTCTCTCCTTTCCCCTCTGTACATGCAAGGGGCTCTTCCTTAGTTTTGATGAGTTCCCTTCTATTTCGCCTGTACTGCTGTATGAAACGAAACCTTAACTATAAAAAAAAATAAAAATCAGGAATACAGGTTTTCAGGTTTATTCATAACAGAAACGGGGAAACAATTTTGTAAACAGCACCATTCCCACAGTCTAAAAGCAATAAAATGGTAAAAACATAGGAATTCTTTATCAAAACTCAGGCTAATCTGGGGCTTGGTTTTACTGATGTTTTCACACCATAAAACGTCCGATTTTTAACCAATAGTTCTTCTCACGACGAACGTTTTCAATCCTTTTTCAAAACTCTTTTTCTTAAACAAAACCTGGAAGTAGGAAGTAGCAGAACATAATTAGCACAAAAGATCTTGGATGGTAAAAAAAAATAAAAAATTCAATGAGTGGACAGTAAATGGATTTCAAAAATAAAACACAACCTTTTGGACTGTTGGCTGTTATGGTAGAGTTTTTAAGCCAGATGCCCTACCTGAGCAACATCTGTACTTTAGTGTAAGTGCCAACATAGGTCCTACATTACATAAAATAAACTCTTGGAAGCTTTGAGCCAAGTTATAATGTTGTTTCCTCCTCAAAAACAGACCTTGAGTTTTGCTTCATTCACATGTTTGAATAATTCTTTATTAATAGTCTGTCTACATCTCCAAAGCTCAAAACGCTCTGTTCCACCTTGAAAGTGTAGTTTTTAAGTTAACGGCTACCCTTTTTAGCTTTTGTTCAGAAGAGTGGAAATATCTACGAACACTTTCAGACAGAAACTGGTCCACCCGAATGTCAAAACACTGAGCCAGAATGAAGAAACGAAACGGACACTTCACAAAAGGATGAGGAGGATGTACCAACACAGGACCACAGTCTGCTGTACATCTCCGTCTAAAAGCCACGGGCCGCTCTTTTAAGGACAGGAAGGGACAGATCCGAGCAAGAGAAAATAATTGGTTTGAGAGGGAAGTTAAAAAGGCTAGACAATCCATCTTTGAACAGAAATGGAGGCCTCAGACATACCGTATTTTACAGGCTATTAGGCACTCTAGACGCACTGTCATTAAATGGTCTATTTTCAAACTTTTTTCACAAATAAACCGCACTGGACTTTAAACGAAACACAACAGTTGGATGGGTCAGTCGGACTTTGTTTGGCGCGTTCATGGGAGTTTAAAACCACAGTGGTGCACTTCCTGTATAACCACATGACATCACAAGGTGGAACAGTGTTTTCCATTTGTGAGAAGAAGAACTCAGCCTAAATATGCATAAACAAGCGTGTGAATGAAATAAAACAACTCCAAGTCTGTTTCTGATGAGGAAACAACATTAGAACATAATAAACAGTCTAATACAAGCACTTTAATGACTATTTGTCCAGAATGATCCAACTAATATTTATTCCCAAAATGTGGATTTTATGAAAATTTCCAAAGCTGCTGGACCATTTCTTTAAAGGTACAGTCTGTAACTTTCTGGGGTTGGTACATCACCTGCTTGATTCCACGGAAATAGAAAGTTAAGACCATATTTGGAAGATTCTACAAGAAGATAGGGGAGTTTTATGCCGCATGGAATATTTATGGAATATTATACTACATTTCCATGGAAGGAGGCCGTTGAGTCAGGTTTGTGGAGATGCAAGCCTACTCAGAGTAAGGATGTATATTTTTCAGAACAATAAACAACTAAAATGAAAAAAAAAAAAATTATTATTTTCTGTCTATTTTTGGGCTAAAAGGTTACATACTTTGGCTTTAAGGCTTTGCAATTTCGAGGAAAAAGCACAACTTTTCTTGACAAGTATTGCGATCGATGTAGGATGTGTAATTTACGTTTTCAAATTCAGCTGAGAGAAGATAGAAGTGCTGAACTAATACAATAATCCCACGCTTTGTAGATTTCTAAACACGGAAAAAACAGCATATTTTTGTTGATGTTGAAATAAAACCGTCGTAGTTGACTGAATTAGCTGACAAATCTTATAGCTTAATCCGAAAAGTTGACGCAGCCCCAAAATCTTGTGTTTATTTTGTCAAACTGCCCAATAAAAACAAGTGAAATCACAACTAAACGTCTCTTTAGATATTCTATTTTTGTAGTTTAGAATGAAAAACCAAAACGACAAATACACAGATGACGCACGACGTAATAATGGCCAATAACGAAATACATGCCGATAACATAAAATTTCTGTCTAATTAAAATGCAAAAAGCTAAATTAAATAAAAAATATCCGTGTTTAAACCATTATATTATAAGTATGTATGTATATTTAGATTTTTGGAGTGTTTTTTGGTGCACAATGTAACTTTTCTAGTGGAGTTTCAGCTGCTTGACGCTATAGAAATGTTAATGCGTTGCCTGGAATGTCCCACAGTGTGACATTTGCGGAAAATATCAATACATATATTTAAAAAAGAAAAGATTTGCGTTGATACGAACCCACGTATCACCCCTCCGCACAAAGTTTAGCGCCATACGGTGTAATTTTCAAGGTAAAACAATAACATCGCCAAGGAGTCAAGCAGAGAAGTTACACGATTCGCAGTTAAAAATGCACAAAATTATTACAAAAGGTGGTTTTCAGATTCGAGAGTGTCATGGTGTCATTCTACCAGAAGGGGGCAGCAGACAGTTTTTTTTTTTTTTTTTTTTTAAATTGATGACATTGAACTTTGCCACGAAATACTGTATTGTCTGCACTATAGGGCACGCTCTTAAGTCTCGAACCCCATCAAAAAACGACTGTGCGCCCCATAATCCAGAGCGCCCTATACACGAATCCACTCGGGTGTCCCAGCACACAAACAACAGCAAACAGGCATGGAGCAGACAGCGAAATATCCCAAACGTAAATGCACAAATGTTGAATCTGTTGTTGAATGTTTTCAGTTATTATAAACCCAAAATCTCACTGTACTGGAACATATTTTAGTACGTTAAAAGTATTAGTTTTAGCTGCGCCCCCATCTGTATGTGCTATGACTTCATTACTGTATTTTTCGGATTATAAAACGCACTTCAAATCCCTTAATTTTCTCAAAAATCGACAGTGCGCCTTATGTATTAATTCTGGTTGTGATTACTGACCTTGAACCAATTTTCACACATATTCCACTGAGTCGTGTTCTTTAGTCCGACAGAAGCTGAACCGCATCAGTGCACAAAGAGCGACCTGTTTTTTATCTGCCAGGAAACCACACTGACTCAGTTAATGACGAGAGGGATGCGGGCGTGCTGGATGCCGTAATCACCCAACTGTTTGAACTATTATGACTTATTTTGAATACACGAACAATTTAGAGTCTCAGACAGTATTTTTTTTACAGGTTACAACTGAATAAAGTTGAAAGTTACTGTGAACACGTTAAATAAAGTTTGACTGACTTATCTAACTGTTGTGTTTCGTTTACTGCGCCTTACAGTCCGATGCAGTTTATATGTGAAAAAAGTTTGAAAATAGACCATTCAATGATTCAATTTCCGCACTATTAGGCGCTCTGGATTATAAGACGCACCGTCATTCAATGGTCTATTTTCGATCTTTTTTCACAAATAAGTCCACACTGGACTTTAAATGAAACACAACAGTTGGATGGGTCAGTGGGACTTTGTTTGGTGCGTTCACGGTGACTCTGGGCTTTGTTCAGTTGTGGCGTGTAGGGAGGGTGCTGTCTGGGACCGCTGGATTGTCGGCGTGTTCGCAGTGACTCAGTTGTTCAGTTGTGTCTAGAAGTGGCACATTGCACTCGCTTTTTCAGTTCGTTCCTCCGTTCTGTTCCTCATCGGCGTAGAGTGATGAGTGTGTCTGTGGGTGTGTTTCGCTGCTTGGTCGCTGTCTGCTCCGTTTGAGTTCTGCGGGTGGTGCGGCTTTGTAGTTTACTGAAGTCGTGCTTGGACACCCGAGTGGATTCATGTACAGGGCGCTCTGGATTGTGGGGCGTGCGGTCATTTTTTTGATGGGGTTGGAGGCTTAAGAGCGTGAACTATAGTCCAGAAAATACGGTAACTAACTGCTTATTGAACAAACTATTCTGCTCTGGAGCTCTGTAACACTTTATTTTGTAATTGTGTTTTTTATTCGTGTTTATTCTTCATAATGTGGATAAATTAAAAGTGAAATGTGGGACCTGCCTCTCAAATCTGCAAAACAAATTTACCTACAGGTACGAATAAAGCAACCAAACCTAACTTAACCTATTTTTTCTTGAGTTTTCACATGGTCTTGAAACATGTGTGTGCATTCTGTTACCATGGTAACTGCTGAACGTTCCGTACACGTAGAACACCCCCGGCGCGACGTCACCGCAAAGTATAAATTGGTACGTGTTCCGTTATTGGCCATTATCACGTTGTGGATTTCTACTCACTCGTACTCAACACAAACAGCTGAAAACTGAATTCTCAAAAATCAGTTGTATTCACAGTGTAACTTAACCCTCTTTTTTCGACAAACTCTCCACGTATTTTTAATCGCAATCCATCTATTTCCTACCTTCCGTCCTTAGCTTCCATTTTTAAAACTAAATAAAATCATTCTGGTAGTTCCCTCCGGAGCTGGTGGAGTGAATCCTTGACCACTGTACGAGGGAGAAGCCAGGCTAGTAAAGTCTCTGTCACTTTCCTTCTTGTGCTGCTGGGTCCGACCACAGGGGGGCGTTTGAGAGTCCAGTTCGTCCGGGTTGGGTCTCTACGGGAGGAGACGAGAGCAGTAGTTTTTTTTTTTGTTGTTTCTGGAGGCCGGCTGGTTTCTCCTCCTCAGTCGGTGGAGAAGAGGTCCCCGGCGGAGGGAAGAGGAGCCAGGCCCCCGGTGACATTGGGCAGGAGGGAGAGGTCCGGCAGACTCTGGATGTGAGACTTCAGCTCTTTTCGGACCTGGGTGACCCGCGCCAGCTTCTGTTTGTACTCCTGTAACGCACAAGCAGAGAGTCGATCAAGAGGAGGTGTTACTTATTTAAATTAAAGAGGTTTCTCGCCCTCCCTCAAGTATAAGGACTAAGAATGCTTATTTAAAAATGTGGGGGAGGGGGAATTGAATGCCTTTAAAATTACGCTTTGAGTTTGTAATAAGTAGCAGAAGTTGATGAAAGGCAATGATGATGATGAAAATAATATTAGTTTAAGTATAGGGACTAAAAATGTTTATTTAAAAATGGGAGAGAGAAAAAAAAAGGAAGAGAGAGAGAAAAGGAATTTCAATAATTTGTGTCGGTGTGTGTGATCGGAGGGAAATGATGGGCTTTTGTTGTTGTTTTGTATTTGTTGTGAGTGTTGCTTTATGATTTGTGTTTTGTTTTATGTTGATTATTGTAATTTGTTAAATGTTTAGAGTTTTCTCGCTATGTTGTGTCCGATTCAAAAACGAATAGGTGTTTTAAATCTTTTATTCCTACTGCTAAGGCTGCTCAATTATGGAAAAAATCATTATCATGATTATTTTGGTCAATATTATAATCACGATGAATGAGTGAATGTTCCGGTATACATAGAACATGCACAGAAAACGTAAATACAAAGATATAACACAAAAAGTAAATATTTCTTTTCTATCTTTCTATAATAAGAGAAAATAAAAGTGACGCAGATTTGACTTGTGTCCAAAAAAGGAATGAGAGGAAGAAAATGCTTTTTTAAAACCACCCCTTTTTTCTACCGTCCCAAATGATTCAATTTGGCACATTCAATTACTCAAACTTTTATTTTTTAGTTACACAATGTATTTATTCATCATTTCTCTCAATAAAACACTTTGTTATTGATAATTTAGGCAAAACTTTCAAACTAAAATAAATATAGGCAAGAAATCTGAACCTTAGAGCAGTTTTGCGATATATAAAACATAAAATGATTTAAATATAATTTGAACATGATATAAGGCAGAAAAACATAAATGTATTCAAAATAAACCATATATCCAGCTGTTCAACAATCTCTATAATTAAAAAATTAAATACATTTGTTAAGCTTTAAATCGTTTCAACTCGATTATATGAGTTTGGAGATTGTTTGACACACAAAATCGAAATTGCAAAATCACGAAGTCATGAAATTCAATTAATTGTAGAGTCTTACCTACTTCTATTTGCATATTAAATTCTAAATAGATGTAATGTATTTTTCTTGGGTGTTTCTTAGACCACAGAGCTCCTTATTGTGGCGTATTAACTGCTAAAGCAAAAATTTTGACTCATCCTCTCATTCAGTGTTTTTCTTTTTTTTTCTTACCACTTTCTATATTTTGGATACACACAGAAGACATCAAATACATGAAGCAAGATTTATAGAACTATGTAATAAAGAAAAAAGTTTGTATTTTTCAACAAAGTGTGGCTAATTCATGAATATAAAAGAAAATATTCAGTAGAGTTCTTTTATCATAATTCCACACATCTTACTTCACATATTTGACATCTTACTTCACATATTTGACCTCTTCTGTATGTAGATAAAATGTCAAAAGTAGTAAAAATATAGAAAAAAAAATACATTTAATGAGAGGGTGTGTCCAAACTTTTGACTGGTCATGTTATAGAGTCATGAGATGAAACTATTGTTGCTATTAAAGCTTCTAAGTCAATGATCTGGTTTAAAAGTTGATGGTTTTCCTTTTTAAATGTTATAAAACTGCCATAATCTCTCACTGAAAAAAGGACATCATCAAATCAAAAATAAACCGAGGACTTTCTACTATCAGCAACGAGAAACTGACAAACAGTGTAACATGTGGTTTAGACAAAATGAACTGTTTCAGGCGTTTTCACACCAGCGTTTGTCCACAGGGCGGCTTCATTTACGTGGTCAAAGAAACACATTTTTCTTAAAACATTGCAATAATTCCGGTAAGGTCTCTATTCTAGGGTCGTAACATAAATGTACATTTATATATCCGATCTACAGCACCAACAATCTTGAAAAAATCTTTACGTACTGAGTAACAAAGAAAAAAGTGCCGTTAATTTAAATAAATATTATGGAAACAAAAATAAACTGAATGTTGTGAGGTCAGTGGAAACAAAACAAAAAAAGCCCAAAATCTGGAAATTCAATCAAGTATACAACCTACAACTCTCCAAGAAATAAATGTATTTAAAAAGTATCTTAAATAAAAGTAAGTGATCAGTGCCCAGAGCTGGTGCTGCTGTATTCTGTCTGTCAGTAAAGTGTTACCTCGAGCTTCTTCTCTCGTTCAGACAGCGCCTCCTTCTGGCTGTTGATGTACTCTGTGAGCATTCGGGCGAGCTGCCTGCGGTCCTCCAGCTCTGCAGCCAGACGCCCGTTATACTCGGCCAGGAGCAAACACGCCTCGTCCACGGTTTTGGACAGATGATCTGCAGCCTCCTTATCTGTGACAGAGAGAGACGGTTATGTAACCAGGGCTCAGACAAAAAACAGTTGTATTTTTGTGTTTAATATTTATGTTCAAGACAAACAGAATATTTGGGCCAAAAGTTAAGATGTAGAAATTAAAGCCATACTTCAGAACATTCTCTATGGATGTTTTAAGCCAAAGGAACGTTTCCATGCAAACAGTAAAAATTAACACAATACAACATTATGATGTTTTTTTTATCAAAATGAAAAAGTATGCTTTTATTTTAGTCTTGATCACTAAATGTTACATAATGTGGCTTTAAGTAATAACTTCAAATTGTCCTCAGGTCCTTTCACTGTCATTAAAGGCCTGGAATATTGGAATATAAATGTATTCCAATATTGCATATGCCATAATGTCCCCAAAGTGACGATTAAATCATATGGAGTAATAAAGCCTTTCCTCACACAGACTCTCAATACAGACTCCAAACAAAGGTTTAATTATAAAGACACGTTTAATAATGTGTCTCTCACCGGTGATCTTCTCGAGCAGAGACACGTCCTGGACCTCCTGAGGCAGAGACGCGATCTTCTGACGAACAGCAGCGTCTCCAGAAGCAGCGTTCTCCAGGTCCTGAAGAGCCTTCACCAGCTCCTCTGTCTGAGGTTACACATTAGATTAGATTAGATTAGATACACATTAGATTATGTGAAAAAACTGACAGAAAGAGCAGCCGTTATTATTACCTTCACATTCTGAGGACAAATGCAGTATTCAGAATATCAATATTTTAAACTTAAATAATATAGCCCTGATGAAGACCTCCAACGGCCAAAACGTGTACTAAAGGAGTTTTAATTTTATAAAGTGCCTCTGACATTTTACTCAAGCCCAGGATGATATATAAATTAGTGCTGTCATGCGATTAAAAAAATTGAGAGATTCATTAATTATGATCTGTAATTAATTAATCTAATTAATCTCATTTTAATCTCACCTAAAAATTGCTGAGAAAAGCCTTCAATTTGAGGTATTTTCATTTAAATTCATTATTACATTATTGTGGCAGATCAAAAGACTCATATAAATTTAAAAAAGTGACTTTATAAAGTCATTTATTGTTCAACAAATTTCTCCAATTTGGCTGTTGAGCCCAAGTCTCCATGAATAAGAAACTGTTTGCTGTAAAGTAGCAAAGACGAGGAAATCTGAACATAATAACTTTTGTCGACTTAAAGACAATAAAAAGTCCAGTCTTTCCTTAACCATATTAAAAATATTATTGATAGAGAAATGTTTTATATACGAGATCACTGGTTTTAGTCCTGGTTTTAGTCCTGGTTTAGACCTGCTTTAGTCCTTTTAGTCCTTTAGTCTTTAGTCCTTTAGTCTTTAGTCCTACTTTAGTCCTACTTTAGTCTTTAGTCCTACTTTAGTCCTGGAAAGGGTTAGTCCTGGTTTTAGTCCTGGTTTTAGTTGGTGTTAGTTCTGGTTTAGTCCTGGTTTAGTCTGGTTTAGTCTGGTTTAGTTGGTTTAGTCCTGGTTTAGTCCTGGTTTTAGTTCTGGTTTAGTCCTGGTTTAGTTGGTTTAGTCTGGTTTTTAGTTCTGGTTTTAGTTCTGGTTTTAGTTCTGGTTTAGACCTGGTTTAGTCCTGAACTGGATTAGACCTGATTTTAGTCTTGGTGTTAGTTCTGGATTAGAGGCGCACAGGAGGAAGCGCGGTTTACGCAGCGTACGCGAGAAAACACGATCCACACGCGGCTCACGGGAGCACGTCGGTGTCCACGCAGTGTCTACGGAAGGAAACGTGGTCCGCGCGTTCTCAGGTTAATGACGATGATGAAGGTGTGTGTTTGTGTGTTTGTGTGTGTTTGTGTGTGTTTGTGTTTGTGTGTGTGTGTGTGTGTTTTGTGTGTGTCCCCTCATGTGGCAGGTCACTATAGGACAGTAGTGCAGACATCATGAGCCTATGCAGGTTGTTTTCAGGCGATATTATATTTGTTATTTTCTTTTATATTTCACGTCGGGAGAATAATTTCCAAGACACGAATGCGTTTTTACCTGTGCACTGCTGACTCTGTTCTACTGGCTCTATGACCTCGTCCATTGTGCGACTGACGCCGCCAATGTGACGTTTACATCGCTCTTACTGCGCGCGCGTTTTGTGTGGTTTTCCGGCAATGAGTGGAATTACTGAAATAAAAAAATTTATAAATGTGTTTTTTTTGTGTGTGTGTGTGTGTGTGCTGTTGTCCCAACAACACATAAAAACTGGTTTAATAATAAAGCAACTCACATACAGAAACAGTAAAGTTAGAGATTAAAAATGAGATTAACGCGATTAAAAAACATAACGCGCTAAATATGACTGTAATTAATTAATCGCAATTAACGCGATAATTTGACACCCCTAATATAAATAGATAGGTACTTATACTACAATAGGTTGATCGTGGTATTTAAAGGTTATTTTCAGTTGGAATTTGTCAAATGTAGCAGAACATGTCATTAGTTGTCATTTTAAAAAGATCATTACTATTGTGTAATAAGAAAAATCCTAAAAGTGTGGTCTCTCACCAGCTGAGCGGCCGTGGAGTCTGTGTGTCTGGGGGACAGGTGGCTTCTGTAGTCGTCATCGTCGTCCTCATCCTCCTCTTCCTCCTGGATTTTCTGATACGTCCGTTTCACCGGCTTCTTCTCCTCTGCAACAGCAAAAACTCATATATTACATACATTTATTACATTATTACATTCTGTGCACCAGGGAGCAGGAGGAGGTTATATTATTAAACGTCACATTTTGATGGAACATGTAATAACAAAGTAGTTCCATGATTATCACAATCACTATAATAAATACAATCAGCATCTTGGCCCTGGCCCTTAAAGGTGCATCATGTAACTTTTCTGGAGTTGTAGTGCCTGAAATGTTCCATGTCATTAAACTTAAATATTCACAAAAACAGAAGGGGGTGATGACAGCAGGGTAATTTACAAGTCAGAGCAGCGGAAAGGCAAGCTGCTCACTGTAAGAATGCAGGTATTTGTTTTTTATATATAAAAAACTAGTTAGTTTAAAGGGCTCATATTACAGTATTTTCCAGTGTTGTTTCTTCATCACAAACATACTTGGTGCTGTGTTTTGTTTCATTCACACATGTTTAACACATAAAATTTGCAGATTTAGGCTGATTTTTTTATTTTTTTTTAAATCAAACTCAAAACACTGTTCCACCTTCTGATGTCATGTGGTAATGAAGACCTTCACTAGAGTAATTTGGAATATTTCAGACCTGGAATTAGCTATTTCTACTGAACAAAAAGGTAAAATGTAGCTGCATCCCTAGATGAAACTAAACATTTTGAGCTTTGGAGATGTAGACAGACTAATAAAAAGTTAACCAAACATGTGTGATTGAAACAAAACACAACTCCAGGTCTGTTTTTGATGAGGAAACATTATAACGTGACTTAAATCTCACAGGAGTCGATTCTCACCTATGGGTTTGGGGCTGTTGGAGTCTTCTATGGCCAGTTTGAGCTGCTGTATAAAGTCTGGTCTGTACAGGTTTCTCTCCTTCCAGATGTTCAGAAGTCTCTCCAGGTGCTTTTTACAGCCATCGTCCCCTTGACTGGAAAATCCAAATGCAAACAATCCAGTTTTTTCAAGAAAATGAAAAAATACCACCTGCATACGTTTATTTTATGGGACATCACAACACTGGAGATTCTCAGGTGGAGTTCGTTGTGTAACTGTGAGACTGCAGATTTGTTGACCTGGTTTATGATTCATATCTCTGTAATTACTCGGCCTATCCACGTGACGTAAAAACTGACACAAAGTTCAGCGCCTTCTCTGTCAGCATACATTAACTTAAGTCACATTTTTCACAATCACTTCAGAAAGTGATGCCATTATAAAACCCCAAAGATGCGAGTCTTGTCATCTAAAATCATAAACCATAAGACTAATATGACATTAGCAAATACAGAATGTGTTTGTGTACCACTGATTCTTTTGAATTTCAATTAAGAACAAAAAACAATAAAATGGGAAAACAGCTTGTTATGGAGGTGTACAATTTTATCTCTGGTGTCTTTGGACAGCTCTTTGGTCTTGGCCATTTTAGCAGTTGGAGTCTTACTGATTGTATGGGGTGGACAGGCAGCTAAAAACCTCAAACATGTGCATCTGATTTAGGCTAATAAATGGAGTGGAGGTGGACTTTTTAAAGGCAGACTAACAGGTCTTTGAGGGTCAGAATTCTAGCTGATAGACAGGTGTTCAAATACTTATTTGCAGCTGTATCATACAAATAAATAATAAAAAAAATCATACATTGTGATTTCTGGACTTTTTTTTTCAGATTATGTCTCTCACAGTGGACATGCACCTACGATGAAAATTTGAGACCCCTCCTTGATTTCTAAGTGGGAGAACTTGCAAAACAGCAGGGTGTTCAAATACTTATTTTCCTCACTGTACTTCTGTTTTACTCATGACCATAACATTAGTTTTGTTCAGTAGATCACACTGCGTTGTCGTTGTTCTCCTTTAAGCTTTCATCTTTCTTCTCTTGATAGTTGTGGATAAATTCTTCATGGAAGAATGTTAAAATTGCCATAGAAAAGCATTAACTGGGAGTTATGTTGACCCTACATGACGGCACTTCCAGTCATTGTGAAAAAGCTCTATACAGTATCTCCGTCTCTTTCTCTTATGTAACAGATTTACATGAGGCTCACCTGGCGACGTGAGAGCAGGCATCAACCAGCACAGACTCAAAATCTTTGGTGAATTCTGGGCCTTTCTTTTTGCTGTTCTGGATGACGTCATTTGCCAAATATAGAAATGTCAGCTTTCTACCAGATTTAGCTGAAAAACAGAGAAGAAAAGCAAAAATGTTAACAACACCTAATGTATCCATCTTCTGTCACTTATGAGGCCTGAGCCAGTGGAGGCAGGTGTTTGTGGAAGATCATATGCCCAGACACAGCTCTGTTTAACTGGGTAATACATGTGAAACTCGAACACATTCACACCGCATTAAAACTGGGAATAAAGTGTGACTAGTGTGAGCTAAACTGGGACTAGACCATCACTAAACCAGGATTTGAACAGGATGAAAACAAAACTACACATTACAACTAGGAGTGTAACGATATCCAAGTCTCGTGATATGATATCGTCACGGTATGAATCTCAGGATACGATATTTATTGCGATATCGTGGGAAAGCTCACGATATGGTGGAGAGGCTAACGATTAGAGATGTAACGATATCCAAATCTCTCGGTACGATATTTTCAAGATATATATCTCACGGCACGATATTTATTGCAATATTTTGTGGAGGCTAATATTAGGGTTGTCCTGATCTGATCACTGACTGCAGAGTCGAGCCGGACTCGGCCGTTATGATCCGATCAGGTATAGGATAAATAATATATGTATATAACACACAGGACACAACAGTTTTGTTTTGTTTTTTTAACTGAGGTGTGGGATTTGCTCATGGACGTCTCGTCAGCACGACTGTCTGTCCCAGCGCCTGCTGTACTAGAGGCACTGTTACCTGTGGTTCTGTGGCCCGTGTTCACACCTGCGCAACCGGTGGCGTCATCGCATGGCACTGTTTGTTTGCATGTTGCACAGCGGAGCTGGCGCTATTGGCGGAGAGGGTCCGTCCAGCGGCGTGGAGCATCTGTTGAGCGGTGGGACTGATGTTGTGGTGCGCGCTTCTCTGTTTGTGGTGTGCGCTCTGCTGTGGGTTTGTGGATGTGGTGGTGGTGCGAGGGAGTGAGGGCGGGGGGGAAAGAGGCTGTCGAGCTTCTTTCATCTCATTTTTATTTGACAAGATTTTGTATTAGTTGGATTTCATAGACGAGCCTAAATGTTTCAAATGTAATGTACATGCAAACATATAATATAAAATATACAAACTGTAGATTGTGCAGAGTCTAATCTCAGGTCTGACCTGATTCTGGTCTGGTTCCTGTTTTGTCCAGTTCATTAAGTTTATTAAGTTACACATTCCAAGATCAGACTGTGAAAAGTGAAAAGATTTTCAGTGATGGTTCATGGTTAGAAAAGTTTTGGAAATTTGATTTTTCACATTAAGTTCAGCCCAAATACTACACACTGAAATCAACACAATCTGATCCTGCACACATCCTGGATCTTATTTTTTGCTCTTAGTTCATTTTATAATGTTTTATAGAAGTACCAGATCAGGACTCGGTATCGGCAGATACTCAAAATCAAATGACTCAGACTTGGACTAAGGGGCAAAAAATTGTGATCGGGACATCCCTGGCTAATATGAGACTTTTTCCTTTTAAAATGACAAGACTTAATCCAAAGAACTAAGACTTAAAAGTGTTAGAACTGTTATTTCTTCTTGTAGTGGAGCAAAGGATCATGGTCTATGTAGTTCCCTCTGTTTTTTTTTTTTGTTATTGCTGCACCATAACTCTTAATTTAAGCAAAGAGACTTGTAATTCGATATATTGTGATGGTCGACGATATTGTGAGAACTTTGACGATACGATATCACGATATTTAGGTTATTATTACATCCCTAATTAGAACTAAACTGGCCAAGAATGAATGCTTTCTAATTTACAATGTCCATGAGATATTCTTAAATTTTGACTGAAAACTAAATAATTTCCATGCAAATTTACACCTCAAAAAATTTCGCAAAAGGTGCATTTTCTCTGAAAACGTCGTTGGTGAATTATAACATTGTCAACATCTTATCTTCTACCACTCACCAGGACCTGAGCCAGAAGAGGCCGTGTCCAGATCTGGCAAACTCAAGAATGTCTCGTGGTTTCTGACACTCTACGGCTGCATTTACACACCGCATTAAAACTGAGACTAAACACAAAACTATATTTGGACCATGACTAAACCGGACCAAACCGAGTCTACATTAGGACTTCAAACTATCGCCAAACCACGCACCCCGATTTACAATGATCCTGATACTTTCTTAGACTATTTTTAGCAAAAAATAAATAACGTATTTATTTCAGTGCATGAAAGGCACACTGTGTAACTTTTTGGTTGAGGGTCCATCGCCTGAGTGTTTCTATGGATACGTCACTGCTTGTAATGCTCCAGAGTGTGACATTAAACAGCTCTACTTTACATTTACTCAATTATAGGTGGTTTTATAGCTCAAAAATACCTAGAAAACCAACATTCTGACCTGTAACTTGGTCTGGTTTGGTCTCCATGAAGATAGAAAAGTTTAATGCCATACTGTGAAACATTCCTGACAAGGCAATAAATTCTCCCTGGAGAAAACAATTTGACAGACCCTCCACCAGGAAAGTTACACAATACAATTTCAAGAATCTCTTGTGTTTAATTCAATTCAAAGTATTTTGCATTGTTTTGAACTGGTCTTACAGTTTTTCTGCAAGCTGATGAGAATGTTTTTGCATATACAGTGTAATACTGTCGTTGTTATTTTTGTTATTTATTACTTATTATAACTAGCAAATGTTCAGTCAAATGTTGCTGGAAATGGGAAGTATTAGTGGTTTAACTAGGGTGACCAGATTTTCAAAATAAAAAACTGGGACATCCCTGGTTTGGGTTGGTTGATAATAATAAAACTGTGAAACGAGTGCATAATTAAGGAAAACTGTTAAGCACTTGGCACTAATGTGAGTCACTATAGTCACATTTTCTTTGTGTTTTTGTCATTCTTCTTCAGCTTTTCTGTATTTTATCTAAACAAATTACATTTTATTCCTCTCTTTACTGTTGGCAGGGATCACATTGCTCAAAAATAGGGACACTGGGGACATTTCTTGTATAAAACTGGGACAAATCAATAGTGATAAATCTGCTGGGACAGGGGACACAGGGCTCAAAACTGGGACTGTCCTGGGTAATGAGTAAGTCTAGTTTAGCTCTTAAAAACAGGACAATCAATTTGTTCCATGCACCAGCAGATTTCCAAAACAACATTCATTCAAACTTCTAAAATTGAGACATTAGAAATAGGGGTGTGCAAAAATATTAAATAATCAATATATCGTATTGTTTAAGTTGATGATACAGTATTGATATCATGGGCTTCTGTATTATGGAGTGGTATATTTTACTAAATTATTTTAATTACAGCGCTACAGTTTTGTTGCTTGTTCAGTAGAAGGAAACTCTTTTGTGACACATTTGACATTTTCACTGTTTTGATGATTAAAATGTTTGTGTGTCATATGAACTTTGCAAAAGAAGTGGTTTAACAAAGACTTTTAGTATCATAGACATGATTTTACCTGAACCATATCAAATCGATTTGAAATATATCGTATCGAATCTTATCGAATCGTAAGCTCACTGTATCGAGGTTTGTATCGTATCAGCAGCTTCTGAATGATACCCAGCTCTAATCATCACATTAAATGATACGATATATTGATATTTTGACATTTTTGCACACCCCTAAATGTTAGTGGTTTAACAGCTGCACCGAGTAAGTTTAGTTTAGCCCAGAAAAATGGGATAATCAATTTATTCCATGCACCAGCGGATTTCCAAAACAACATTCATTCAAACTTCTAGAATTGAGACATTATAAGTCTGGGATGCGCAAAAATATTAAATGTTGATATCGTATCTTTTAATTTGATGACACAGTATCGATATCGTGGGTTGCTGTATCATGGAATGGTATATTTTGCTAAATTATTTTAATTACAGGGCTACAGTTTTGTTGTTTGTTAAGACGAAGGAAACTCTTATGTGGCAGATTTGACATTTTCACTGTTTTGATGATTAAAACGTTTGTGTTTCATTTAAACTTTGCACAAGAAGTGGTTTAACAAAGACTTTTAGTATCACAGACATGAACCGTATCAAAGCTATTTGAAATATATCGTATCGAATCTTATCGAATAATAAGCTCACTGTATCGAGGTTTGTATCGTATCAGCAACTTTTGAATGATACACAGCTCTAATCATCACATTAAATGACACGATATATCGATATTTTGACATTTTTGCACACCGAGTAAGTTTAGTTTAGCCCAGAAAAACGGGATAATCAATTTGTTCCATGCACCAGCAGATTTCCAAAACAACTTTCATTCAAACTTCTACAACTGAGTTATTATAAGTCTGGGGGGCGGTGCAGGTCCACGGGTTTCAGCAGCAGCTCACGTGTAAATAAAGTAACTCACCTTTCTTGAGCTCCCGGTGCCACACTTTGACGATGAGGGCCGAGTGTTTGCGGTGGTGAATGATCCACAGGGACAAAGTTTGGACGCTCTGCTGCGAACTGCTCAGCTCCGACAGCTTCTTCTCCAGCGCGGACTCCGAGAAGGACGCCATGCTCGGGTCTGTAGCTCCTCCAAAACTATCCCCAGAACCGTGAGACCGTGGCCCGCTGCGACCCCGATGCGCAACAACACCCCAGAATGAAAACCGAAGAGATAACGCAATCGAGTCCGCCTGCACTTAGGTCTGATCTGAGCAGCTGTCCCTGTTTGTTTACAGATACCGCTAGCAGCCTGAAGCTACCTGCGCGCCACCAAAACCTCCAAATAAACGAATTCGCCGCAGTTAAAAGCAAAAAGTCCTATTTCGGTTTGAGAACAGAATGTAAACTTTGCAATATTAGCACGCAAAGCACTAAACTTTGCTTCTGATCGCTAAACTAAGACGAATACTTATCCAAAAAATGGCAGCTCGTACATTCACCTCAGCGTGCGCACGTCGCGTACAGATGACGCAAGCAAAAGCGACACTTCAGTTTTAGTCGTGTCTCAATTTTTATTTAATTTTTATTTTTTTTTATTTCAAATATACAATGTAATCTACAATGGTATAAACAGTAACATTGCTAGAGGCTTAAGAATTCATATTATACATATTCATATTATATGAATATAGAAAAATAACAAATACATTCACATTTTATATTTCAAATTCCATACAAAGTGCTTTTGTTTTCATGGCTTTGGGATTTTGGCAATAATTTAGAGAATTTAAATAAGAGGACAAGAGGGACTGAACTACAACAAGTTTCTGACTAGAAAATTTACAGTAACTGATATGAAATTTTGATAGGAAGCCGTGTCCCAATTAACTAACCCAAAAATTCTAAACTGGCACTAAATACACGTTTTGGGGGATTATTGCATGTTGTCTCATTAAAGATACAAACAACAATGAAACACAAATGCCCAGTATGTTAAACTGCAAAATCAATGAATGGAATGTAATTTGGATATATTTCATCATGTTGATTTTTTTTTTTTTTCAATGAAGTGAGCACAACATATTTTCAAACAGAAAATCTTGATGTTTGAAGAATGGCTTGATCCAAAACATCACATTGTGGTGTCACTGAAATAAAAATATGTGAGCTTCAAAGAACTGCAGTGTGGCTCTCTTTTCTTTTTTGTATAATTTTTGTCTTTGGATTCAGCATGCAGCTGCAGTTTTTGTTGGATGTGCATGTCTCTTCTTGCCAACACGATCATGAATGCCCAAGAAAAATGTTAAAATACTCATAATAATGTGTCCAGTTGCTGGGTTACAGTTGATATCACAACATATTTCATGCAGATGGGGAGCAGCAAAAATAATATTATACAATTCATTGTTTATTCACTCCACACTCAGTGGTGGTAAGCTAATATTGTAAGACAAGCTCCTGTCTTGCAGCTCCTTGCATTTGCACCTCTACAAGAGGTTGGTGTGCGTTTTCTGTTTCTTTTGAAGCTAATATTGTAGCCACAGCTGTCCAGGGACAGACTGACGGAAGTGAGGCTGCCAGTCTGTGCCACTGACCTCTCTGACCACCAACACTCACACACACACACACACACACCACTTTCTTACTAGAAAATATAGGTGAAGTGTCTTGCTTAAGGACACAATAACAGGTTTTTGCCACTGGCGCCCCCCTGTGGCCCCTGATTTCCAATGCTGTTTTAATTTTCACTTTGTAATGAATATTACACATTAGAGATACTTTTGAGGTAGGTGAAATTGTTTTGGACAGGACCAGTTCTCACTTCTTCATTTCCTTCAATTTTAGAACATGTAAAGGCTGTGCAAAATACTGGTGATATGGTGATATGACTTTGTCAATGCCCAATACCATCTCATCTCAGACAACTGGCAGACTCACTTCTGTCACTGTGGAAAAGATGTATTTATTTTTATAGCAATTCCTTACTATTTTTATAGTTTTGTTTTTGTCTTCTCTTTTGCTCTGTAGTTTAAGTGATCACAAGAAACTGAGTAAATATAAGAACCACAGCCTTAGATGAGGTGCTGTTATTTGTCTATGAAACATAAACCATTATGTATTTATTAGTGCACAAAGTGTTGCATCAAAATTATACATTTACATTGGTAACAGGCATTTACTCAGTCAAATTTAACTTATTCAGCACAATATGTATAATTCAGAAATCCTTTGGTGAGCTACTTGGAAGAGATTGGAGCTCTCTCGGTAGCTCCCGAGTTACAGGTTGGAGACCCCTGATCTAGGCACAGCTATAACATCTCCATTATAACCCACTGAATAACATCCCACACCACCAGAAACTCTTTAGGCCTTAAATTGTAATTATTAATTTATTTTCTTTGCTAATTTACATGGGTAAAGAGCCTTGCGCAACAATCGCTTGCACTGTACAGTCTTCTGGTGAGTATGCACATGATACGTTTTATTTTCTTTTTGCTTTAGTTTAGTATTTAGACTTAGAATTAGACAAACTTTATTGATCCACAAGGGACGTTATTTGGACACAGTAGCTCACACATCACAAAATAATATAATAACAAAGGGTAAAAAATATAAATGGTAATAATAAATTCTAAATAAGTAGCAAAAAAGAACAAGAGACAGGTGTCAAATAAGGCATAATTATATAAACGTAAATGTACAAGTCAAAATAAAATAGAAAAATAAGTAACACAATATAAAGTCTCAGCAATGTACAAGAGGTCTTAGAAACACAAATATTTCCAACAAATAACAAATAACTATCATAAGAAATAAAAGTTTTTAATATGTTTATAAAACTCTAGCTGACGTCCGAGACTCTCCGTTACCCCGGGTTACGCGCATGCTCGCTGTGACGGAAGGAGGCGCCGCGGATCGTGCAGGCGGATCGTGCAGGCGCGTTTCTCCCGCACGGACAGGCTGTGCTGAGGATTGACAGACCAGAGCCCACCTCGCTTCTCTCCCGCTGCAGCCGCCGTTTAGCCCTCTGCCTGCCCGCCGCTTTTGAATGGTGCCACGGCTCTTTTCTGGGATGCGATCATCGTAAAAGCCGAGCGGTTTGAACGAGAGCCAGAGAGCGCGCTGCCAGGGGACGGAACACGGTAAGAATCGCCCTTAGCTCGGCTGCCCTTGGATTAGCGAAACCCCGGGCTGCTGCGGCTAGGCTAACAACATGGATGCTCCTGTGTGCGCTTTGATGCGGTGACTGGAGATTATCCGCTTTAACCAGGGTTTGATTCGCCTCGCAGTCTGGTATTTTCTGCTTTTCCGCCACGTACCGCGCTGTTATTTACTCAGAAGACGCGACCAGACTTCGAGCTGACCTCCCGGTGTTAAATATCGATCGCTGGCATTTCATTCAAGAGTCTGATTTGTGAAGCCTTTGGTAAAACTGGACCACTATCCTGGACCAAATCCGGATTTACAGTCTTGTTGTTGACTAGGTTGACCTCAGGCTTTATAAGGAAGCAGGTGCACACTCCCTTTCGTTTTGCATCTCATGCGTAATTTGGAAAGCGTCCTAATTTTTTGCATTGTTTATGATCTAGAAGCGCGTATTAACATTCACTCAGAAATGGATAGGTGCCGTGGGCTTTTTCTGTCCCATGTGAAGTCTAAAAGCAGTGACAGGTGGGATTACAGTCTGCGTGGCGTGGCGTGTGGGTGTGCGTACGCGTATTTGGCACACATGGACACGACTTGGCGCAATGGTTAATTAAATAAAAAATGTAAAAACCCTCAGCGTATACTCGCACCTATGGGTTTATGCGTTACGTCGTGGATGTTATGTTTAATTTATTGTGAAGGCGTAAACGTTTGAGTTGTACAGTGCGAGCTACAGTCCAGGGATGGGTTATTTTGTGAAACAGAACACAATGTCTGGAATGTCTACCACAGTTTTAACTTATCTAACTTGTTATTATTAGGGCTGGGTATTAGGGGTGTGCAAAAATATCGAAATATCAATATATCATATCGTTTAATATGATGATACACTAACAATATCTTGAGCTGCTGGACTTATATATGGTCAAGAGTATTTTTTAGCTTATTTGACGAAATTATTTTGTTACAGAGCTACAGTTTTGTTATTTGTTTAGAGGAAGGAAACTCGTTTATGCGTTTTGAGGATTAAAATGTTTGTGTTTCATTTGAACTTTGCACAAGAAGTGGTTTAACAAAGACTTTTAGTATCAGAGCCATCATTTAGTCATTATTTTTTATTGAACTGTATCGAATAGATTTGAAATATATCGTATCGAATTGAAGATATGTATCGTATCGGTAACTTCTTAATGATACCCACCCCTACTGGGTATCATTCAGAAGATACCGGTACGATAAATATCTTGATACAGTGCGCTTTTGATTCGATACGATTCAATATGATATATTTCAGATCGAGTCCACAAAGTTTATGCAAAGTTCATAAGAAAAACACCCATTTTATTCATCAAAACTGTGAAAATGTCAACACAATTGTAGCTCTTACACAAAATAATTTAGTAAAATATACCAAAAAATACTCTTAGCGATATAACGATACAGCAGTCCACGATATCGATACTGTATCATCAAATTAAACGTTTCGAAATATCTAGAAATTTGATATTTCAAATTGATTCGATACGATTCATTAAAGAATAGTGGTGTGCAAAAATATTGAAATATCTATATATCATATTGTTAAATTTGATGATACAGTATCGTGGGCTGCTGTATCGATATATCATCAAGAGTATTTTTAAATTAAAAAAAAAAAAATTGACTAAATTGTTTTGTTGCGTGTTTGGAGAAAGTTCACTTGTTTATGTGATTCACTTGACATTTTCACAGTTTTGAGTAAAATGGGTGTTTTTCATATAAACTTAGTGGTTTAATAAAGACTTTTAGTATCACAGACAAGATTTAGCCATTTTCTACTGAACCGTATCGAATCATTTTGAAATATATTGTATCAAATCATATTGAATCGAAAGTTCATCGAAAGTCTTTATTAAACCACTTCATGTGCAAAGTTCATATGAAACACAAACATTTTAATCATCAAAACAGTGAAAATGTCAAATGTGTCGCATAAACGAGTTTCCTTCCACTAAACAAACAACAAAACTGTAAAAAAATAATTTTGTAAAATATACCAAAAAATACTCTTGACGATATATCGATACAGTAGCCCACGATATCGATACTGTATCATCACATTAAAGATACGATATATTGACATTTTGATATTTTTGCACACCCCTAATGCATTATGTCGTGGATAAAAACCGTAAAAGTGTGAATTGAAGAGTAGCTACAGTCAAGATGTGGGTTATTTTGTGAAACAGAACACAATGCCTCATTTGTTTACAGCAGTATTAACTCATCTCACTGTTATTATTAAATTGCAGTCTATTTATTGGCAAGAAAATGCTTCGTTTGGTGAAGATTTACACATTCTGTCGAGCATTCCAGACAAAATGGTTGCAACTCCTTGGAGAATTGAAAGTTTAAAAACAAGGATGCACAAAAAGTGAAGTTTCAGATTATTATTTTTATTTTTTATGGTGCTGATAAATAGAATTCTGGCATTTATTATTTAGTTGGTTTTTCATCATAAATATTTGAGTCCATTAAAGTGAAATCTAGTCGAATTTTAAAGGGATACTGTGTGACAAAGAAAGTTAAAACCACACTTTATAGATCAGTTTTAATGCCGTACTGTGGAATATTATAGCCAAAAGAACAGCATTTCCATGGAAACGAGCGGCATGTCCCATATTTCTGAATGAGCGAACACGAGTAGAAATGAGATGAGCTCACTGGAAACTGGACGTGATGATGGGAAGCGAGGCTGGAGAAGAGAAGAGAGAATGAGGTGAATCTGGTTCATCAGCAGTGACTCAGAAACCAGTCACAGAAAATCTGGTTAGACCCGAGTATCAGAGAGAAGAAGAGGGGGAGAGGAGAGAGGGGGAGAAGAGAGGGAGGAGAGAAGGAGAAGAGATGGGACAGAGAGAGAAAGGGGAATGGAGGAGAGGAGGGAGGTTAAAAAAGGGAATGGAGAGAGACGAGGAGAGGAGAGAGGAGAATAGGAGAGGGGACGGAGAGAGAGGAGGAGAGGATAGGAAGAAGGAGAGAGAGGAGGAGATGACAGGAAGGAGAGAGAGAGGAGAGGGGATGGAGAGAGGGAGAGGAGGAAGGATAGGAGGAAGGAGAGAGGAGAATAGGAGAGGGGACGAAAAGAGGACGGAAAGAGGAAGAGATGATAGAAAGAAGGAGAGGAGGTGGAAAGGATAGGAAGGAGACGAGAGGAGATGGAGAGAGAGAGAGGAGGAGAGGAGGGAGGATAGGAGGGAGGAAGGAGAGAGAGACGAGGAGAGAGGAGAACAGGAGGAGGGATGGAGAGAGAGGAGGAGAGGATAGGAAGAAGGAGAAAGGAGGAGATGATACGAAGAAGGGGAGAGGAAGGAGAGAGAGAAAAGCAGAGGTGAATAGGAGAGGGGACAGAGAGGATGGAGAGAGGAGGAGAGGAGAGGATAGGAAGGAGAGAGAGAGGAGAGGATAGGAGGAAAAGAGAGGAGGTGAGGAGGGAGGACAGGAGGAAGAGGATAGGAGGAAGGAGAGAGGAGAATAGGAGAGGCGACGGAGAGAGGATGGGAAGAAGGAGACTGGGAGAGGAGAAGAAGAAGGAGAGGGGGGAGAGGACAGGAAGAAGGAAAGAGGTGGAGAGGAAAGGAAGAAAGAGAGGAGAGGGGAAGGAGAGACAGGAGGAGAAGAGGGACAGAGATGGAGAGATTAGGAGAGGAGGAAGGAGAGAGGAGGATAGGAGATGGGACAGAGAAAGGGGGGAGAGAAAGGAGGATAGTGCGAAGGAGAGAGGAGGATAGATGGGACAGAGAAAGAGGAGAAGGAGGAAGGAAGGAGAAGAGGGGAGGATAGGAGATGGGAGAAGAGTGACAGAGAGATAAAAGAGGACAGTGTGAAGGAGAGGAGGATAGGAGAGAGAGAATTGAAGAAAAGTGCTAATGTGATTCTGAGTTGCGTTTCCCTTTTGTAGTCTCGAATATTTTTATGGAAAATCCCAACGTGCTAAAAAGTGCCTGTAAAAAGTCATGACTGAAAACATAAAACCACACCAGTGCAAGAATCATTATGTGTGAAAGCTTACACTGCACTTTTATTATATTTTTATTTTAATCAGCTCTTTTCGCAGCCTTTTTTTTTTTTTTTTGGACAAGTCTGCATTCTAGACAATTTACTCAAGATCCAAAACAAACGCTGTCGGAATTTATCTCCCTCTAAAACCAGTAACGCCTTTTTTGTGTTTGTGTATTTGTTTCAGTTATCGTTAGTCAAACTGTATAAAAAGTAAAACAAAAAAAGTACTAAAATGGGAGTTAACTTTGTGAGAACTACAAGTGTTTGGAGAGAGATAAGAGGACAAGGGAGGAGGAAGGAAACAGGAAGATAACGGGAAGGAGAGACGATAATAGAACCAAACGAACAAGCAAAATTACCTGTATTTACATATTTTGTTGTGGCCTATATGATACAGATAAAATGGGAGTTGGAGATATAAAAGCCGATATATTTAGTGATGTAAAAATTCACTGTAAATGTTGAATTGTTTAAAAAACTTCGGTGTGGCTCTAAATTGGGTTTATTTAAGCAACATTTATTGTTATTCTGACTCTTTACGTCATATTTACATACAGTAGGTCCGACTAATGGCATTTTTGCATCACATTCTAGCTACTAGTGATGGGTATTCCAGTTCTTTTTAGAAAACTGGCTCTTTTGGCTCAGCTCACTAAAAGCAGCTGGCTCTTTTGGCTCACAATTGGCTCTTCAGATTATTTTTTTGCAAGCAGGACTAAACCAGAACTGAACCAGGTCTGAACCAGGACTGAAAAAGGACTAAACCAGGACTAAAACAGATCTAAACCATGTGTAAAACAGGACTAAACCAGAACTGAACCAGGACTGAGTGTTGGGACTCGATCTCTCTCTCTCTCTCCCTCTCGAGCCCAAGATTAGTCCTGGTTTATTTATTTTATGCTACATTATACTACAGCCAAATATGCACGTTTTTTCTCTCCTATGCACACGCAGA